TTGATTCATTACATGAGTGATATATCAGTAAAGAGAAAAGATAGGAGGTTCTTATTTTATATTGGTAATTTCAGTTCCTAATTCGTATGAAACTATAGACTTAGTATTTTGACATTACAAACATGTAATTTGAGCCAGTGCTGCATTCAACATACCACGTGACACACAAAACTCGATGTTTAACTGTTTTTTAATATTTACTTTTAAATTAAGAAATTAAATAATGTATAATACTAAAATTTGAATTACAATCTACAGTTTCATACCAAAGTTATTGACATAAATTCATGAAATAGTAGTTCAATAAAATTTTGAATATGAGTCAACAAACGCGATAACATGGCCTTTGACCCGTGACCCATCTGGAGAGGGTTAAAAACAAACAAATCAAAAAAAGGGGGGAAAAATTAAATTAACAAATATTTTAATGAAAGGTATAACATTTTTATTTTACATACTTTGCTAAGACTAAACTTGTTATACAGTTCAAAGTCAAATATAAAAACTGGATTGGTGCAAAGTTAATTTAAATGGTAATTAGTTGCATGGGTTGTACGTATGACTTTAACATAAGCAGTGTGAGATGTAACGAACTCTAAAGTTGAAAGTATTGGTGAAATCAAAGGATCATATATATTATTACAAATAACAATTACAAACTGCCCATATATCATACAAGTAATGTTAAATTTTAAGGTCGGTAACTTAAAAATTTCAGTAACAAGCAGCAGCACATATTAGTATACTTGATTTTTTTGCCAAACAAAAATTTTTTGTACTATATGCATATAGTGATATAGGGTTGCAGACTTTCTACTGAAGAAATATTTTTTCTTTCTTTATTAATATCTCACTTAAAACTAAAAAAATGTATAATTTTTATGCTTTCTCTTAGGCACAGTATTGTAAAATTGTATGAGGACAATAACCATCAAATTCATCGTGCTCCTCTGCGACGTGGGACTAGTTTGGATGCAGTTAGTAAACGAAACCTATTTGTTGCTATGAGACAACCATCACTTGATGACATAGAACAAGAAACATGCAAGTTGGATCCAAAAGAAGATGGTCGAATTTCTATCTTGACTGGAGAGGTGAGTTTTGCTACTTTGAATCTGTGTTCCAAAAAAAATGCAACCTAGCTCTCTATTTGTAAAATCTCGGTACTTGATATTATACCACTAGATCAGGGTTTTCATTAACCTGTAACTGTTACATGTCTGGTTGCATTACTTGAAATAGACAGCAATGCAATCAGAGTAAGGATTTAAGTCTTAGGTGGGAGAAGTACTAGAAAATGTATTATTGTAAACACTAATTATTGTCTATTCACATTTTGTAAATAGTTTTGTTTAAAATTATACTTTAATATACATATAACTACACATTTAACTCTTACCTATACCTGTGCATGAAATATTATCTAAATAGTTATCCAGCTCAGTTAAAATATAATACATAAACTTACTGTGTAAGATTATCAGTAGGTATAATCTTAAATATGCAGTTTGCTGTATAATTTTCGTTTGCCTTCTTTCATGTGCCAAGATCATCTAACTAATTTTGTAAGATAAGCATGGTTTAAAAGTAGTTGTTAATTTCTTTTCCTTTTGTTGAGAGAAACATAAAGTTGCAACTTAAATCAAATTACAATCTATCATTAATGAAAAATGAATTATGTCTTTAAAAGGAAAATCAGAGAAATAATTACCTTTAGAAAATACCAGATATTATGAGGATTCTATAATAATACCTGATGGAAAGCTTTAAATTGGAACCCAAAACTAATATATGTAAACTGGATATTTTCATTTTATCATCTAAAGGGAAGATGGCATAATAAAACAACGTCTTCATACTTTTGTTAAAGTATGACACATTTGACACATATTAATGCAAATAAAACCATGGAACAAGTGAGAATGGTAAAATTTGTCCTGTGGGAGAGGTATTGCAGAAGTAAGGTTGACTAACACACCAATATTGATGCACTGTCTAACAGATTCAATCTGTAATTTCAAGCTAAATAACATATGGAATTAATATGCTCCAGCCCACATCACCTAAACTCCATTTAAATCTAGAAACAGTTATGAGAAACTAGATGCTACTAAAAAAAAATTAAAATAGAAAGGGATAAGATAGTAATGTCAGAACATTGAGGATTACTCATCTGAGGTTGGCGCCTGAACTTTATAGTGATAAAAATCAATACTAACAACTAGTGAAACTTAAGATAATAACATCAAAATATACTGCTAGATAACATATCTATGTGTTTTATTTCTAAGTTATCATGTAGCAAAATGTACTACTAGATGACATATCTAGGCATTTTGTTTTTTACTTATCGTTTAGAGAAGACTGAGTACATTATATTAAAACAATTTTGAATATACTACTCAACAAATCACATGACAAACACGGTGATATAAAATTGTTGTTGAATGGCATGATGCAACCAAAAATTTATCACTTTTGGGAAGAGTATCAACACAAAAAATTCATACACTTAGATGTGTTTAAATTGGGATTTAAAATTTCCAAGACTATGGTATCTCTTGTACTTAAAGGCATTAAAAACCAAAGGAATATGTATCAACTTGGGGCACCAGGACTATCCAGGAAACGATTTGCAACAAGTTGTACTCCAGCCATGGTAAGTAAAATATGGTGTTTTGTAACAGGTGAAAATCCATAATCACAGAGATCAGTGGCAAAAGCCATCCATGTGTCCCAGGCAACAGTACAACAACATAATCAAAAATTATCTCTGTCTGGAAGAGTCCCACCAGTCACGTATACAAAAGTTGTGTTCATGACATATCCATTCAACTGTTGCATGTCTCAAACAACTGGAAAATAAAACAGATATTCATGCTGAACAAATTGCTCGACACAGAACCTATGGGTTTCTATGCAGTCAAATCACTGAAATGGGCACTGGAAAAACCATTATCCTTGTACACTGTATATATTATAGGAGTGTGCTTCAAACATGGTAGCCTTGTGAAGAAGCCTTTTGCAATGGAAACAATGCTGTAAGTCTATTGTCAAGATGCATGGTTGGCAGCAGTGGCAGCTCTTCAGATGAAGAAAAGGAGGTCATGCCTCCATAAAAATTTTGAATTAATAAAATATTTCTTGTCTTTTATATCAATACCTATATTTTCTTTGTTTTGGGCATAAAGTTCTTGAAAAACTGCATCATTTTGTAGCAAAATGCTCAAGAATCTTCTTGTCACACTGTCAATCATCAAGGTGACATCTCATGGAGTACAGAGTAGTTGTGCCGAGCCTTCTTACTGAGTAAAACAAGGATTTTGAGGCTGATGACACAGCTAATGGAGTAAGTCAGAATCTAGGTTTTAAAAAACAACCAATGAAAATAATTTTAAGAAATGTTTGTAACCACAAGGAGCATGCAAGCTTCACAAGGATGTGGTGTTCAAGGGCTGGTACAAATTCAATGATTATTTAGCATTTTCAGGAATATAAACAAAAGTGAGTTTCATTAAATGATGTTTAGTGACTCAGTTGGTTATAAATTGTGATGATTTATCATGATTTGGAGGCTATTTCACAGTTTTCAGTTTGAACAGTAGTTAGGCTTTGTCTGCTATGACAATGTTACTAACATGTTTGCAATTATAAATAAGTTTAGATGCCTAAATTAAGTACCTGTTTTACTGGTCTCTATTTTTGGGGAGTAGGGTTAAAATATTGCCATCCTTCTCCTCAATATTAACTGTGAGCTGCCATTGATTGGTAGGTAGAGCATGACTAGACAAGGCAACATAAGGCTGTAATAAGTTGGTGAGGCTCCAAAATGGTTTTAATATAATGTACTCAACCTTTGTAGTCTATAGTATGTTTATTATTGAAGCTTACTTTTTTAATATCACTGGTTTTGTGCTTAACCTACAGAAGATGTTGTTTACATTTTAGTTTTAATCTAAATTTTGACTTAAACATCTATTTCTCTTGTAGGTTCATAAAAATTCAAAATTTTATCATTCTTAACCTTCTCTTAATGTTTTGTAGAAAAACACATACTTGCAAAAAAAGATATGTTGGCTATAGTTATCAAACTTTAAATTCAAGCTCTTTCAAAGAGATCATAATTTGAAAGTTGGCACTATGCTTTCATATTAAATTATCATAATTTTCCCTAAATTGAGCTTATTTAATTATTGTTTAGTTCTGAAATATTTCTTGCTTTAATTGTCGTGAGACAGTTTGACATTTAGTGTTGCTCTGTTTGTACAGTTTAGTGTTTTTTGTTTCCATTCAATTTTAATCCAAGTTGCATCAATTTTTGTAAGAAATGTTTATTATTTTATACTTTTTTATGCAAGCTTTCTATTAATTTTGTTTGCCTGAATTTTTCACCACCAGAAACCCCAAGCATTATATCTGCAACCTTGAGTTTGTGTATGGTGTCCAACATTCCTTTTGTGATCAACAGCATTACCTAGGAAACTAGTTTTTCAGTTGTAGTGTGGTTTAACAGGGAATTATGGTTCTTGCAAGCATCATCCAAGCTTTGTATTTTGTAGTCAGTCTGAATGTGATTGCACTAATTATTATAATTATCTAGAATTTTTATTTATATATGACTGTTGCCCTTTACCTCTGTTGCTTGTTACGTATTTGAATCTAATGCTTAGTCTACAATATTGTTGCTATATTTTTATTTTTACATTTTGTTAAATGCTTTCCTGTTATTTTCTGTGGCTTATACTGCAACAGACAACATTTTCTTGCCTTTTTTTAAGCAGAGATTGATTTGTTTTGAATTGTTGATATAAAAAGGTCAAATTTTAAGTAAATTATTTCCTGTTATATATCACATTAATTTTTGTTTTAATTTAATTTAAACATTAGTGGATTAAAGTTTGCTTAAAAATTAAAGGAATTATACCTTTTATATTAAATGTTTTAGTCTGTGTGTAAAAATTCAGTGAAATTAGTTTAGCATTAGAATATCATACAAGACATACTGTACTAAAATTTAGGTTTATTCAATTTATCTTAGATACAAATATATAAATAACTGATGTGTTTTTTAATCAGTATTTTTGAATTGAGAAAAGTAGTTTTCAGGATTAGGTTAAAATATGAAATAAACTCATGACAGATTAGTCAAGGTAGCAGTGCATTATGTATACAAATTGAACTTCACTCATTACTTTCTATTCCTTTTGGAGTAAGTTTTAATTTTTATGTGATTTGTAGTTTTCAAACTGAGGTTTTTAGTCTCGTAACTAAGGGATTTCAGTCTTCTCACTATCAAAGTTTATATTTATAAAGTACATGTATTATTTCTGACACAAACTATGATGTTTTGTGTTCTTTATGTCTCATTTTATTTTTAAAGTGACTATAGTAAATGCTAATGCTTTAAATTACTGACACTGATTTTTGTATTTGATTGATCTCACTGAAGTAGTTTAAATATTGAAATATATATGGTGTACACATACATAACACTGTAATGGGTATAATGTGCTTGTCCACAGAAGCAGTTTGGTATTGGAAAAGAGAGAGATAATATATGAGTATTCTTGTTCACAGAAGTGATTTGTGTATACCTAGTAAAAGAGATGATGTACAGTATATAACAAGTATATTGGCATTAAATAAATAATAATTTCTTTATTAATCTCTACCCTAATTTGATTTGTAAATAACTTAAATAAAGTTATTAAAAATTTCAATTCACCAACTTAATCTAGTTCAAATCATAGCAGGTGTTGTTCATGCAATTTGATAACGTAAATTTCATCTCGATCACGCCTATGTCTGTCATATCCCAGCCAGCCTGATGAGCACTGGTATTGGGTGAAAGGCCTCATCAGCAATGGATATAGCAGATATAGTATCATTGACACATTGTTATGAATTATTTTTACTTTTAGTCATAAGTACCATAAGGAGTATAATTGGTTAGTCCACAGAAGTGGTTGGGGTATTCCAAAAAGAAAAATAATATATAAGTATATATATATAACACTTTGTAAAGAGTATAGTGTACAGTTAACTAAAGTGGTTGGAGTTTTAAGAAAAGAAGGATGATACGTAAGGACACCTT